AAAAAAAAAATAAGCTTTTGAAACCCCACAGTATTTTTCATGCTGATAGCCAAAACTTTATTTTCAAGAGCCCTATTTTCTTTGAGACAATAGGCTCTTGCAAACTCAAAGTCCTGGTCCTGAAAGAAGCAGAGTATAGAATTAGGCCTTAACCCTTCTCCAACCTCTCAGGTTCAAGTACACTGGAAATAAAATTGCTTCCTGATGGTTTCATCTCATGCCACTGGCACTGATTGGCCTAGTTTGAGTCATGTGTCTGTTCTAAATTAATTCATGCCACTAAGGAAATGTGATCTTCTAGTTGGCCAGATTATGGTGCCAAGGTGGAGGTAGTCTCACCAGAATTCTATCGACTGATGAAGTTAAAGATACCTAGTAGTTCTCTGCATCACGGTTGGTTCAGAGACTTGAATTTCTAATGTACAGACTAAGACAACTGTTTATTTGCACCGTCTAAGCATGCAAAAGTTTTAAGACATTTTCACTTAAGTGGAGGATTACACTTTTTTAAGTAATGAGGCTGGGAAGGCCAACTTTCTTAAGTTGGCTTAACGCTTACTAATGGAAAAAGGTGATAAGCAGTAGTCACCGACGCGAGAGAAGTGGGGTGGTGCACAGTAAAGTAAGGTTGCCCAGCGAAGAGCTCAGATGGGAAACTCGGTTACTTTACCGGGTGATTTTTAACGCCAGCGAAGCGTGAAGAGCGGTTCCCTAAGGCAGCTCTTGGGTTAGCAAGGCCAGCAATTACTGGCGCGGAGTAAGCTCGGCGAAAATGATGGAGTTGACCTGGACGTCCTGCCGCCGCAAGTCCCGCTCTCTCCCGCGCCGCCTCACCCCTCCCGCCACGTGGCGTCACTTCCGGCCCCGAGGGATCCGCATCCGGGTCAGGCTAAGCCTCCGGCTCGCGAGTCTGTGCCTGGTGAAGGTGGCGCGCCGGCCGCGTTCTCTTCCCGGTGTGCCCGAGGCGCCGAGCCCGCCGGCGAGGATTGCCTCCCTCCTCTAGCAGAGAGGGACCCGGAGGAGACCTGGGCGAGGGCGGCAGCCGCTCTGGGGCGCGCTGGCGACTCTGCTCCTTCGCTGGCTGCTGTCTCTGGGAACCGGGTGGCTGCACTGAGGAGTCTAAAGCCGGCGGCGTCCCCCTGCCCCGGCTCCCCTGCCCGCCCTGCCGGGGAGGGCAGAAGATGCCGGTGAAGAAGAAGAGAAAATCCCCTGGGGTGGCAGCGTCGGTAGTCGAAGACGGAGGCCTAAAAAAGTGTAAAATCTCCAGGTACCACCTCCCCCAACCCTCATGGTTTCCTCCTTCCTCCTTTGCTGCAAGGCTGGGAGGAAAAGGAGGCGGGCCAGGCCTCCGGGGCTCGGGCTGGGGGAAGCGATCCCCCGCTTCTGATAAAGTGGGGTAGTAGATGCGTATCTCCCGGCTCTCCTCGTGCTGGGTGTGTGCGCCCCAGGGCCCGTGAAGGCACTTGAAGTGTCGGGTCCCTGGAGAGTCTGTAGCCCTACCGGGTGCAAAAGCCGAAAAGCGTAAGCCGACTGCGCTCTTTCCCCTGACCCCCACCCTTGCCACCCTTCCCCCACCTTCTTTCCAGACCTGGAAGTGAGTGCGGTGTGAAGAAACGAGCAGAGCAGGAGGCATCTTGACCTGACAACCTTCACAGGAACGGTAGAAAGGAGAGCTACCTATGCAGTGATTAGCCTCCACATTTAGTTATCAGATTTAACCCAGCCGATCCCTACAAGTAGGCGACCTTTTAAATCGCTGGAGCCCCCGTTTTTGAAAGTGTGGAGCTTTTCACCTGCGCCAGATCTCTGAGTGCAGAGTTGGATAGATCCGCATTTGGTCTGCTAGCATTCAGGATGCTGGTAGCTCGCAATATAAATATTAATCATTTGAGAGCTGTTTTATTCTCTTCTCATGGAGAAAACAATGCAGAGATGTAGAGTTCTTTGATCCCATTGTAATATACCATTGAGACTTCACAGCAACATTGGTGCAAAAAAAATCTTTGCAATTAGGTGTGAGGGGTGGGTTATAATATATGTTTGGGGTTATTACTGTGAAAGATGATGCTGTTTTCTCCCACTAGGTTTGACATGGTAACTCCACAGACCTATGCAGGTTTTTATTACTTCACTTGTAGCCACCTTTTAAGTGTTTAATGCATTAAAGTTATTTGCATTAAGCACACAGAAATAGCCAAGAGCTCAGTATTTGTTAGAATTCAGGTGATACTTGCTCTGTCAACTTGGTTTTAAGTAAAGTGCCCTTATTTTAGATTACATCATTCAGTTATAGAAGTTCTAGACTTTCTATGTCATTGTGATAGTATAACTCGTTGAAAAAGGATTTTCAGAAGTTCGTTAAATCCTACTGATTTATGAACTCAATTTTTAATAACAAAAAACAATGCAATAAGTTTTGGAACAATTATTTGTAACATTACTAGTTCTTAGGTTTTTTTTAAGTTATTATGGTGGAATTTAATTATACCATTAGGTCCTAAGTCATTTTATTTTTAAATATCTTTCAGTTGGTAAGTGATAAGCAACTCTTCGTATACGATTTTATTCCAAAATGTTCGACAAGTATCAAAAATATTCATTACAAGATTTGTTTTCAAAAGTGTATCTGTTACCTACAAATCTAATTTCTGTGAAAAGCAGAAGGATCTCTATAAATATAGATTTATACTTTCCCAACTACCAGCCCTGTATTGCTACCATTAGGTTGAACATCTTTGTGGTCTCAGAGATCAGGGAAGTAATTTCAATTGTTATTTTTCGCATTTAATAGTGAGCAAAGTAGAATTTGGGATGTGTGCACCAGAAGTTTTTATGTAAAGACTACATTTCAAATGTAAATTGTTAACCCCAATTTTTTCCTGTAATACTAATTATAAAAAAAAACTTTGTTCAGTTTGAATTACAGTAGTTCATATTGAACTTAGCTTTTTCACTAAAAGACTTTATAAAAACTCTTAGGCATTTGTGTGTTTTCTAAGCTATTGCAGATCCCAACCCCCTGCTAGACTAATAAGTGGAGAGGAACATTTTTCAAGCAAGAAGTGCCTGGCTTGGTTTTATGAGTATGCAGGTAATGAAATTAATATAAGAAGATAAATCAGTCATATGCTTTAACATGTTTGATTTTTGTTTTGGTTCATTAACAAATGATGTATTGCAGGCTTGCTACATGTTAGTGCTAGGTTTTGGGTTCAGCATGAAGACTTGGGTAGTCTATGAATTTGGTATCTTTGCAGGCTGATAATTCTTAAGTAATTCAGCATATATTTAGTGGAAGTTGAGAAACTCACATGCTGTTAATAAAATTTATATAATCATTCATTTCTCAATTTACATTTTTTGGTAAAAGTAGAGTTGTATTTCTGGGAAATACAAATGTACAGAAAGCATACTTTTTACATATATATAAACTTATAGATTTGTTTTCTTTTAAATATTTGACATTTTTCTGAATCTGAAACTGGTATTTTCTGGAGGTTTCAGAAGGCATAATAAAAGATTTTAAAAACTGAGATACATCATTGCAAAAACACTTAATTACTGCTATTTCTTAGATTATCACTTCTCTGTATATACAATAATAAGTAGCCAGATATTTTACAGTATGATAAATTCTATGTTAGGAAAATACACTGTGAGAGATTTATGAGGAGGAGGAAGGATATATGTCTAACCTTCAAAGTGTTAGACAGTCTTCTTAAAGGAGCTACTTTAGTCAGAATCCTGTAATGGCAAAAAAAAGTGCTAACCCACCATGAGACTAGCTCAAAGGATAAAACTGGTGAATTAAGTAAATATCTGTGAACGAATACTTGTTTCCCATTTATTACTATTTATACATGATTTTGTTTTGTTTTGTTTTGTGTTTTATCTGAGAATAGTTTTTGTCATCTGGAATTAACTGATTTTAAAGTTTCTCCCTATTCTCCCTTTTTTTTTTTTTTCCTTTTTTCCTCCTTTCTGTTGCCAGCCTCCCTGGTTTCTGGTTTGGTGTTTGATGTTTTTCTCTTTTTTAACTATCATTTTCAGAGAATTTGTTTTTTTCTATTCCATCTTTGTCTTATGTTCAGTGCTGTTCAAGCTAAGATTTGAAATGTACTCTGAATTTAAAGTGTAAGTTTAAGCTAACTTTATGGAAAGTTAAACTATTTTAGGGGGCAGTAACTTCACTGTTGGGATCAGCTAAGTGATCCCAAAAGTATAATTTAAAAACTGTTTAGTAACAGAACAGATTGTTTCTAGACCAGGAAAACTGCTATTACTGGCATCCCAAGACAACCACTAACCTAATTTAAATGAAAGGAATTCATTTTCTTACTGACCTCTATTTAAAGTGTTGGCCCATTATTCAAAATGCCAGTTTTACTAGATTTCATGGTACAGAGTTAAATGTTACTCATTTCATTTATAGAGGTTATTTACTGGACACCATAAGATTCGTTTAGTTTTGTTTTTTTTTCTCATTTTGTTTTATCTTTCCTCAGGGGTATTGTGGGTAGCATAAGATTCTAATTAAATATTTCCTACATTTGTAATAGGATAATTGTTATCCAGTTTTCACTTACAATCATTCTGTTAACTAGCCTGTGTTATCATTTTTCTATAGACGAGAAAACTGGGAATTAGATTAAGTAAATTGTCCAGGATCATAAAATGACAAGAGCCAAGATTGAAACCCAGGTCATGGTGACTGTAGAGCCCATGTTTTTAAAAAACTACTGCTGTCTTGTAATATTTGTTCTTAAAGTAAGATAACAATTAATGTTCTTTACAAAGAAAATATTTTATCAGTGAAGACACAAGGTTAACTTACCTTGGTCCTTCATTGAATGATTCCTTCAGTACATACTCATTGGGCATTCCTGTATGTTAAGTACTTTGCTAACTACTGGAATACACAGTTGTATACAAGGCAGACAAAAATCCTGCCCAGTGGGAAATTGAGTAAATGATAAATGTTAGGGTAAATGCAGATTGTGGAGGTTATATAAATAAGGTATGGTACAGAGAAAGTAAAAGATTGGATGGACTTTCAAATAGGCATCTCTGTGAGAATGACTTAGGACAGACCTGAGGAACAGGAGGAGCCAGTGTTTGCCAATAAACTGTGACTGTTCCATCTTGAAATGGGCATGTTCTTTATTAAAATGGAGGCACAGGGCCCTCTCAGTTGGCGCAGTGGGTTAAAGCACGGCATTAAGAAGCTAAAAGCGCTTCAGGATGAGTTCGATCACCACCCAGGAGGTGATCCACATAGCATGGCAGACCTCTCCTGACCCGCCCGCTGCTCCCCTCAGTAGTGTACTTGGTCAGTTGGCCTGTTCTGTTTCCCACTCTTCCTCTGGTGAATCCTCTCACTACCCCTGCACCTCTGGTCTATACCCCAGCTCTATATGCATAAATAAATAAATCTTTAAAAAAAAAATGGAGGCATAATGGTTGTGCCTACTGAGATAATACTTATAAAGCACTTAGCTCACTATATAATCAGAACTAAATAATTGTTAGCTATTGTTAAAGGGTGGAAGTATCAACAGCATCAGATTTACTAGTATTTTTACAATACTGTTCCAAAATTAACACTATAACTCAGGTGAAAGGAGCATTTTCATTCATTGAGCACAGTCTTTTTCTTGAGCACCTGTTTTCTTAATATATATGGCCAGGAACATTTCTTTATTATTATTAAAAAGTGGGGGGGGGAGGGGGAACCCTCTTTTTGTTCTGTTTTTAAAAGTCACTAATCTTATTAGTATGTTATAGGTATGTGTGATATGCCTGGTGTTTCCTTTGCCCTGTTACAAAACTTTGTTGATTTAAATTGGTAAGGATTCAGTAATATGTCAGATGCCAGACCTATTGCTAAACAAAAGCATATAAAATGAAAAGGCACTTTAAAGTCTTGTATCCAAAAAAAAATGAGGAGGAGAATTGCATAGTTCCAATAAAGTATTAGCTGCTACAGGAGAATGAACAAGCATAAAGAAAGAATTACCATAATTTCTTAAATTGAGATGAAAACTGTTTTTTTGCCTGAGTTAGTAGAATTCAGCTTCAAAGGTTTTGTTCTGATATTTTATTGGAAAGGTATGTTTAAAAAGTAGTTAACATTATTCAGTCAGAGAGAAAAAAATTTAATATAGACCTAGTTTCAAATTTTTATCTGTCTATTTACATTGTTTTGGGAAAGTCGCTTAACATTTACAGATTTACAGGAAGGTCTTGTATATCTCACATATATTGATATAACATAATTTAACCTCATTCTAAGTAAATTTTAATCATTAAGTAATCCCCCAGTTTCCATGGAGGCTATATTTTTTGACAGTAACATTTTGTGACAAAATTCTATAATTTGTTCTTCTAATCTCTGATAATGGCAGCTTCAAGAACAACTCTGCTTTCTTGTTGTATGTGTATACTTTTCAAGTTAAAATTAGCACAGTCTCATTTAGAAATCCTCCACATATATATTAAGAAGTGAAAGTTTCCTGTTAATTACCACCTGCTTTAACTTTTAACACCTCACTGCATAAATAAGTACTTATTTAAACTACAGTGTTTAAATAAGTTTCAGAGTGTGTGCTAAGGTCATCTGAGCAGCCTGGATCTCATCTGAGAAAGATTGGCCACAATCTTTGGCTGCATTCTGCTATTAAGGAAATGTATAGGACATGGGCTTTTGTGCTGGTGACCTGATGAAGATGATGTAAAATACCAGCTGAGCAACCATAATTTAGTTCATGATTTATAGAGATGAAACATTTTCATTCTTTAGAAAGGAAAACAAGTTTCTCTGGGGTGTTTTAACAATAATATTTTCATACTGTTTTTAAAGCCCTGTGTGGTAAATTGTTAGGACATTTGTCTTAGTGTTACCTAATTGCAAGAGACCTAACAATGAAATAACTATTTTTTGTGAATCTGATAACATGAAAAATATGAGGTTTGGTGTACTTTCCTATAGTTAGTGTTATTGGGGGAGAAAAACATACATTATTGGACAAATAATAGATAAAAGGTAACTGAGGGCTTAAAATTTTTTCTCTGTTAACTAATGCTGTGTTATTTTAGAAGCAAAAAGATAAAATATTTTCTTTCTGAAATTGGGATGTAGAATTTAATTTGCCATAAAATGGGTATCTTTATAAAGTTATAAATTTTATTTCAGTATTTTTCAAAAGGGTAATGTATAACCCTTTCATTTTAGCAAGCAAACAGATATTCTCTGGTTACTGTTATGGGCTGTGTGTTAGTGCTACTATTTGGTAGAATGAGAAATTCAAACTTTGTATTTCTATAGTGCCAAATTTTTTCTTAAGAGAATGTTCTCAGTAAATGTTTTCTTAAAAGATAGGTTCAGGTTATGGTATAAACAAGTGATTAATACTAATGCTGCATTGATTTTTATTTCTTCAGGAATGTGGCGTTCAAAGAATATTTCAAAAATTTTAAACTGTAATATTTATACCTTGTCAAAGAAAAAGAATTCAAATCGAATTATTTGACATTGTTATGGTATGTTTTACAAATGACTTTGACAGAGTGGCTTATGTTTTACGTTGATATTAAATTATAACAAAATATATAAATTATTTTTGTCTTTGAAGGTCCTGATGAAGTTGTAGGGCCAGAAGGAATGGAAAAATTTTGTGAAGACATTGGTGTTGAACCTGAAAATGTATGTTTTATTTCTAAGTAGAATGGAATACAAGTGGGGTGTAGCATATTTATAAATTTCTAGAAATTGGGAAACTTTTTATATGAAGATTTTGTTTCTTATTTAATATTATAAATTTTCATTTAGGTGTTTTTTAAATCAGTTTTAAGTTGGACAATTGTTCTCTTTCTTGATACAAATGTCGTGTAATAGAGTGAGACAGATTCAACCTTTAGAAAGTTGCAGCCTTTACTTTTAAGAAATTGGCCCACCTAATTTCTTTATAGTTAATAATCCCAGAGGTTATACTCTTTGATAGTTGAAGGATGGAAATAGTTGTATGAAAATGCTCTCCATGATAAATATAGACATGATTATCTCTATGCTGACTTTTCCCCTATCCTTTATGTTCTGTTCTTTCCAGATTATTATGTTAGTTTTAGCGTGGAAATTGGAGGCTGAAAGCATGGGATTTTTTACCAAGGAAGAATGGTTAAAGGGGATGACTTCATTACAGTAAGACATTTTTTTAAAAAACAAATTTGATGGCCTATTTGAAGATCTTAACTGATATTTTGTGCTTCGTAATTTCAGGAGTAAGATTTCACCTTAAAATAATCAAATTGGTATCGTCTGTAACAATCAGTTTGGAATTGACAAAATTTGCACTGTGGTCTTGATAAAATGAACAGTTACCCATTATCATATTCTCTGAGAAAGCACTTCAGTACAATTCTTTTAAAATTCATAATTCTTGGTTGGTGTATTAGCAGTCCAGTCAAACTTACTACTCACAAGTTATTTGAGCAATACATAGAAAATATAGAATTTTGTGTATGGAGTTTGAGTAGTCTCAAATTTGGGGGTTTTTATCTGTTCTTCTATACTTGGTTAAAGAAATTTGAAGATAGAGTTACGTGACACTTATAAATTCTGCTTTGCCAAATGAATATCATAAAGAACAAAAGAAGAAATGAACAGCTTCTGTGCAACTTTGGTTATGTTTATATGGTTGTGTATTTTCAATGTAGGATGCTTGTATTTCATGTTGCAAATGTTCATGTTATTAGCTACCAACTATAACTATATTCTAAAATATAGGAAGCAAAACTGGGGATTAATGAAGCCATGTGCTTTCCTGTAATATTACATTTACTCTTCACTCCTTGTTTGTTCTTGAATCTCAAAATACCTGGTTATTTTTTTAAATGATTAGTTCATATGGCATTCATATGAAATTTTTTATATGAATTTTTGATTCTTGGTAATTCTTTTAACCAGCATTATACAGATATTTAATATGTGGAGGGTGGAGGAGGAAAAGATGGTAACACTTCTGCTCATATGAACCAAACTGTAGCTTCTAGAATATAATACAAAACGAACCCTCTCACTTCCATTATTTATAGATGGCAGTTCTGAGACTCAGAGAGGAGAGGAAAATACTTTCCAAAGATTATACAATTCCTTAATAGTAGAGGAGGAATACAAAATTTAAATTTCCTGATTATCAATCAGCCTAATCGTACTTCCTGTTGCATCTTTCTTTTGTGTGCACATTAACATGCTTAGTGCAATGGAGAGCCATTATTAAACTTTTAGACCATAGTATTTGTAACCAACATTGAATTCTGTTCTTCATTTAGGTGTCAAAACTCATTGGACTACTTACTACCAATTAATTGGGTTTCTAAAAGAGATGCAAAGAATATGCAATAATTTTCATGGAATCTGTTTCACTGAAATTTGTATCAGCTATAACATGACTTATTATCATTTTATTTACAACTATAACTACTTTCTACACTTCCATGGCAGCTTTCTTGTATACAATAGTACCACCTTATATGCAGGGGTTTGTTCTAAGACCCACAGTTGATACCTGAAAACTCAGATACTAATGAACCCTATGGGTACTATGATTTTTCTTATATTATATGCCTATGATAAAGTTTAATTTATAAGTTAGCCACAGTAAGATTAACAGCAGCAGTAAAAAATAGAGAAATATTAATAGTATATTGTAATAACAGTTTTGTGAGTGTATTATATGTCATTCTCAAAATATAGTATTTAACATACCGAGGATAAGTGAAACAAAGAATAAGGGGGATACTGCTATACTGATTATTTTAATATCCCAGGTAACAAGTACTTGTATATTTTTAAACCAAAAAGTTCCTAATTATACTTTTCCATAATTTGATATAAAGAGCTCTATGTTTAACAAATGTATAAACACAAAGTGTTTCTATACTTACTCTTGGATAATTAATAACATATGGCCTTGGGTATAAGAATATAAATTGACTAATCCGTGTTTTTTTTATTAACACATCTTTCTTGCAGGAAGTTCACAGGTTGTGCAGAATAAAAGCAATCATTTAGCACTTAAGTTGACCCAGAGTTTTCTGTGTCACTTATTTATTATCCATTGCCCATCTGCCTATACTTTACTGTAGAGCCTTGAAATTGCTCAAATTAAGCAAGCATGTTTATCTTGGAAAAGTCTTTTCCTCATGATCTAGATAGGTATGTGGACCAACAGGTGCTTTTAAGTCTTATTACTCTCTAAATCTTTTTTGTAAAAAAGCTTATAAGTAAAATCTTTAAAATATATACTGAGAGATACAAAAGAATCCGTGTCTTAATTTTTAAATGAATAGCAATCTAATGTACTTGGTTTGATGCAACAAAATTTACTTTGTAGATTTTTTTAAATGTTTTTAAACCTGTGTTTAGTTATCTAGTGGACCCTATATTTTAATATAGTTAGTTATTTCAAATTAGTCTTAATACTTAGAAAACTTGTATAGATTTTAGCTAAAGACTAGAAATAGACTGGAAGTTAAAATATACTGTGGTCAAGGAAAGTGGGCTTTTTTAATAATCATAATAAAATGTACACTTGTATAATGCTTAATAGTTTTTCAGAGTCCTTGTTACTTTTAAGATTATACAGTGTTTCTATAACTGCATTACCTTTCTTTATGTGTGAAATAATTTAAGAGTATGAATTTGTGTTTACTTGGACTGAAATAGCCATTTTGTAAGTTTTAGGGGTTGTAATTGCTTTATGTAGTTTTCTGTATACATTTCTTCATATAATAATAATCATAAAATTTTCCTTCAGATCGTATTTAATTTAGTGGAGACTATATTAAACCATTGACAGTTTACATTGTAGTTTTGGTAAAATGAACACCTAACTCCATTTGTCATACTTTGAGAAAGTACTTCAGTACTTTTAAAATTCATTATTCTTGGGTGCAATAGAGTTCCTGAAAAAGTTACTCTCAGGTTCTTTGAGCAGTACATAGAAGGTAGAATTCTGTGTAAGAAGTTTGTTCTTTGAGCAGTCCTAAATTCTGGGGCTCCTCTGTCTTCAGTTTTATACTTGGTTGATGAAGAGAAATCTGAAGTAGAGTTACATGACACTTTCATAAATTCTGTTTTGCCATATGAATATCATAAAGAATAGAGAAATGAATGCCTTGTTATTATCATTAGTAAGTAGCACAGTGGAGCTTAAAGCATAACTCCTACCCTTGAGTTACATTCTATTAGGGCAAGGAAGTTGTTAGGATACTGGCACCATACCTGTAAATCCACATAGAGCATGGCCAGTGCTAGGACAAAATTACAAAACCCTGTGGTAGTGCAGGTGCAAATTAGTATCCTGTCAGCAAAGCAGACAGGAAAATCTCAATAGGCAGGTGGACTGGACCTTTAATGATTTGTATTTTGAGGTTGAGTGTTTCTCATAATCATAAGGTGTACAGAAAGAAAATTGATAGAATAAGTTTAAATTCCAAATAGTTGGGTTTATTGACCACATTTCAAATGATTTTGATTAACATTTTGAGCTAAATCACATTTTGGGAAACCATTGGAGGTTTTTGAAAAAAGACTCAAGATTTTGGGGGGTCATATAGCATTTAGTTATTTTAATGTTTTAAAGTCCTGGACTCTTGAGAACCTTATGAAAACTCTGAACATTATTCCCACATACACACATATATATATAAAATATTACATACAAAGTTTTAGATATGGATCATCTCAAATTCAAGAGTCCAAGAATACTTGGAGATTTTTGTCCTAACATAACTTACTGGAGTGGAGAATTTTTCTCATATTTACTCTCTTGATTAGTTTGGTTCTGAAACGGTGAAATAGCATGCTGATAGTGAAAGCTGTGAGCAAAGAACATTCAAAAGACTACTTGGTTATGATAACAAAAAAGGCAGGAAAAAAGCATCTGATAAGAATGGTATAACTGCTGCCTGTCAGTAGTTATGAACTGCATACTTTCTGGTCTCCATATTGAACTCTGAACTTTGAAGACTAAAGAAATGTTCTGGCTTGACTTTCTTTAGGAGTGAGGGCAATGGGGAACATGGATATGGGTTTGTTTTGTTTTTGTTTTGAAGAATAGTGTAGCTGGGGTGCAGTAGTGTGTGACTATCATTTATGTAGCTTTTGGGTTCTAATTGGCATCAGCATCCTTCTTTGTTCTCTCCTATGGGTCATGACAACTTTAAAATGCCTTCACAGCATTTCCAAATACCCTGGAGTTGGACTATATTGTTGTGGATAAAATTTGCTGCTAGCACAGCGTACCTGTTGGGCCTTTCTAAGCAAGAGAACTTTATTTAACTCTAATAGCTAAATAAGAACTTCTCATCATACAGGTTTTTAAAGAAGCAGAAATATAATGCCTTTCTTGTTAGTCAAGTGTTTAGCAATACTCAGGAAATGAATTTTCTAATGTTGAAATGTAAACCCATTTCCTTTCCACTAACCAGTGTGTCCTTGGACAACTGTACCATGTACTAGTGTTCACTAAAATCTGTGTAGTTTTATTTGGCTGGAACTTAGAAAACTCTCTTGCTTTACATGCTATGCTAGTTATGTGTACAGTTTTTTTTTTGTTTTTTTTTTAGTTCAGAGCACATTTCCTCAGTTTCCCAAATTACAAGGTATTGATATTATTAACTCTGCTAATCTCATTAGGTTAAATAGAAGAGTAGGGCCCTCCCTGGTGGCGCAACGGATTGGGATGCAGCATTGTAGGCTGGCTGCAGCCGCTTCAGTGCGAGTCCAATCCCCAGCCCTGGAGGTGACCCAAGTGGCGTGGCAGACCTCTCCTGACTCACCCGCTGCTTCCCTTATCAGTGTACTTCAATAGTCGGCCTGTTCTGTTCCCCACTCTGTCTCGGGTGAAGCAACCACCCCTGCACCTCACTCAGGCCTGTACCACAGTTCTATATGCATAAGTAAATAAATCTTTTTAAAAAATACAAGAGTAGATTGAAAGTGACTGCTTGGTTTTGCTAGGTCTATTCAGAGTCTATCCTGTTGGTAATAAATGTGGGAGCTTGTGCACATTCTCCAAGAAAAATAAAAAATAGGTTCTGTACTCGATTGATGATAGGCTCTTAGAAGGTGTAAAATAGTTTGGACAAATAACTATGTAGGTGATTTTTAAGCTTTTGCTTAAACAGGAACAAATCAAGTGAAGAAGAGCTATGTTAAGTATTTAACAGGGTTGTTTTGTTTTTTTTTAATTAATGCTATGTCTATAAAAATTACCATTAGGTTATTTTCATTTTAAAATGAAGTAACAGGCTGAACCAAGGTTAAGTAATCACCTAAAACCATGTAGCTGGGAATAAAGAAATGGGAATTTGAGCCAGTCAGTTTGAGTTGAAACTTGATTCTTCACTTTATCTGTCATAAGCTAGTTTGGATCACATTCTAAGTAATAGTATTGGTAATAGCATTGGTACCTGTGAAATATAAAATTATTTGAAAATTATTGTAACTTATTGGATTTGTATCTTCTTAGTGACCTGTTAGTCACTGCTTATGCACTTTATAATTTTGTATGAACTTCAATTTCCCACCGTCTTTACGAAAAGGTAATTTTGAAACTTTCTATAATTAAATAAGGGTTTACTTTGCTGTTATTTTTGCTATTTGTAAGGTATTTAACAAATAACTTGGGGATGCTTTTGTATGCCAGATGCTTAATGTCATGCTATGAAAATAATTCTCAGGTTTAGTGCAATTTATGTGCTGCCAAAATGTAAAAACCAGGCCTTCCCTGGTGGTGCAGCTGGTTAAATCACAGCACCAAGAAGCTAAAGCCACTTGAGCATGAGTTCGATCCCTGCCCCAGAGGTGACCACATGGTGCGGCAGACCTATCCTGACCTGCCTGTTCTGCTCCCTATTCTGTCTCTGGTGAAGCCTGTCACCACCCCAGCCTCTCTAGGTTCTGTATGCATAAATAAATAAATCTTAAATATATACATATATCACTGGTTAAAGATGCTATAAAGATATAGAAAATTATGCCCCTATTTAAGATAGATCTGTCAAGGGCACCTCCCTGTATTGCAGCCACTACAGCACGAGTTCGATCCTCAGCCAAGACCTCTCCAGCAGACCTCTCTTGACCCTCCCGCTGCTCCTCTCAGCAGTGTGTTTCAGTCTGCTTGTTCTGCTCCCCACTCTGTCTTACTCCCACACAACTCTGGCCTGTACCCCAGTTCTATATGTATGTACGTATAAATAAGTCTTTAAAAAAGAAAAAAAAGATCTGTCAGGGGAAGGTGGGTCATGACAAGGAAGAAAGTCCCCATCCCATAACTAGATACTTAAATGACTCAGTGTCCTCTGAGATGTTTAAATGAGAACACTGACAACCTTGAAGGCTAGAGTTGGAATTTTCATATAAGCAATATGGTATTTCCCTGAGGATATCTGCCTATTCCAAGCCACCTAGTATCTATTACCCTATCATGCATGCTGAAAACAAGAGACCTATTCATTACCCAGATAGGTTAAGAATCAGGTTAGGTTAGTGTTAAACCTCTCCAGTAGATGCAGACTTGACTGCCAGGCTTGATCCTTAGTGGCCTCCCTGGTGGCACAACAGGTTTAAGCACAGCACTGTGAAGCAGTCTGCAGCCCCTGTAGCGTGCGTTAGACCCTTAGCCAATGAGGGGACCATGAAGTGGCAAACCTCGCCTGTCCCACCTGCTGTTCCCCTCTGCAGTGTGTTTCAGTAGATCTGTTCTGTTTCCCACTCTGTCTCTGGTGAATCCTCTCACCCTCCGCCTCTACCCCAGGTCTTGTATGCATAAATAAACCATTAAAAAAAAAAAGTTAATGGACTTAGAACTAAAAGGAATACTACTCAGAAGTATGCAGACTTAGGGCTGGAGTTCATTATTTATATGACTTAAGCCAAACATGTATTTTAGAATTTTCCAACGTAAATAGTGCTCCCACCTGTGTAGTGAACACAATCCTTATGTAGGTGGAATACACTTTAACAGAAACCTCAATTTCTGCTGAAGATTCAGTGATTGTTGTTTAAAATCACCAAGCATAATTGGGTAAGAAGTCCTAAACTTCAAAGTCAGACTCTTGAAGACATGAATTTTTACAATCTCAGTGCGCATTAGAGGAAAAAAAATGGCTTCAGGTGATCAGATTTCAGATAATCAAATTTCTAAAGGAATGAGCTAGAAAGGAGGTACATAGACATCAATAAGGAAGGAATCTGGTATCTAGAAAAATAGGAGAGGTTAAGAAACATAGTGGTTAAATTTTATTTTTAACTTGATTTTTTAAGTTTACTGAACTCATTTATTCTAAGGGGTTTTGTTTTTTTTTTTGTAGGGGTGGGAGAGTTATATATTTATTCCTTGAGGTTTTTTGTTTGTTTGTTGTTTTTTTTTTTTTTTTACATATGTCATCATGTCATATAACTTTGACATGAAACCAGGAGAGTTTTATTTCTTTTCTGGTCTGTATGCCTCTTTCCTGTTTGACATATTGCATGGGCGAAACCAGCCTTACTTCTCCCTGTCTTACATAGAAAACATTCACTGTCTCACCATGATGTGTTAAGTGTAAATGTTCATGATTGCTCTGTATTAAGTGGGAAGGAGTTCTGTATTCCTGAATCTCTCAAGTTTTAGCATGATTGGATAAAAATTTTTGAATTGCTTTTTCTACATTGAGTAATGTAGTGCAGCTTTTTTCAGCATGTTAATACTGTGATTATATTGATTTTTGAATATTGAATCGTGCTTGTATATCTAGAGTAGGTTCCATTTGGTTATGATTTGAAGTTTTTTTTTACATATTGCTGTATTCTGTTTGCTAATACTTTGTTAAAAAGATTCATGAGGGATATTGATCTCTAATTTTACTTTTTATTACACTTTTATCGAGATAACACACTAAAAAATATATTATTTCTTAAATAATACTTACCAAAACTGGCTGTAACTATACCACTACTTAGAGTGAAAGCCTTAAGTGTCATTTTATAAGAAGATGAAAAGAGCTTGATCAAATATCTAATTTTAAAAGTTAGAGAAAAGTTCAACTCAGAGAAAGAAATGATAAAACAATATCTAGAAATTAGAAATCAAAGCTGCAATTAAGAGAAGAAATTCAGCAAGATGGTCCAGAAAAATTAAGAAAAGAATACAGATAAAGATTAAAAAATGTTTTAAGTGATATAATCAATGTTTAAATGAAAATATATTTGAGACAAGCAGATTATCTGAAAATTATATAAATGGTCAAAACTAAAATGGAAAATCTCACTCTTGTAATAGTTAAAAATATTGATTTGAAGTAGCCTTCTCAGTGACTTGTTGGTGTGAATTTGGATAACTAATTCCAGTGTTCAGGAAACTTCTCAAAAAAAGTAATAACCATCATTTCAGTTTTGTGAGACATATGGCTATAAAAATTTGTTAGCAAAACTAGCAAAGTGTGAGTGAGTGAAATTTATAGTCAGCTAGCCTCACTACCATAGCAAGAAATCTAATAGTATTAAACTTTATGAAATTTGACTTATGCTAAAAATACAAACTTAAGCAATATTAGAAAAAATTCTGTAATATTTGTACCTTAAGATTTTAAGTTACTTGATACCACATTGTTGATTTAGAATAGTGAGTCTCAGTTAAATTGAGAATGCTAGCTGTCTGTACTACATTAAGTACATCATTGTTTTCTTAACTTAAAATTTAGATAACTGATATTAAATGTTAGGCATATTGGAAAAAGTGTATACTCTCTGTTCTCCTTTCATTAGAGTCAGGTATTTTCATTTGAGAAGGAAAGATCCAGGCATTGGTCCAGCTTGAACAGTTACATAGACTGGGATGCAAGTGCACTTCCCCGTGCAGAATGATTACTTCCCCCTAAAATTGTTTTAAGTAGAATACTGGGGGTCATAGCAAATGACACAACTTATTTGATGGAAGATGGTCTCAGTGATGAGAAAATACTTAATACTTTTTCAAAGTGGAGGGACAGCATGTTGAGTAGGGGAAAATAGCATTTGCAGAAGCTTAGCTGTTGGTTTGAGAATGGTAAGTGAAACTGATCTGACTTGAGCATAGTTTAAATAATGGTACCTGGTAGAAGATGAAATAAGATCGAGTCCAAGTGTGAAAGACTTCATCTGCCTCCATTCTTGCTAAATAGTGAACTATATCAACCCAGTGAGCATCAGAAAGCTTGTAAAATTTTTTGAGCACCTGAGCTACACAGCTTTCTTGCATTCATTTTCTTTAGAAAAAACATGTATTATATACCATATTTCCTGCTTTTGCATGTGTACCTTACTTAAATTTAGGTACAATCAGTGATCTACATTTTTTGTTGACTAAAAATGTAGGATTTTGAATTTGTAAATAACTGACCCACTAATATAATGCATTTCCAATGTGTTACATCCTAAAACTTTTAAAACCACTCGTGGCTCATCTTTCACCTCAGACTTTCCAAAGAATTATGTGGCAGAGATTAATTTCATTTGCTTGGTCATCTTTTTTACTCAGTGTAATAAAAGTACATTTTATTACACGTCTATTTAAGAGATTTGTGATCTTTATTGGCATTTTTTATTTTTATTTTTTTAAAGAAAATCATTGGAGTGTACTTTCACAGATTGCCAAGTTTTCTTTTACCTTTTTCCTGTTGCTTTGGTAGATACTAGGCCACAAGTTTGTATGATACTCTGAATTTCTGAATCAGAATTTTAAACCTAAATTAATTTCCTAAGTACATTCGCTTCTTAATGCATTTCTTCTAACCTTCTAAAGGTACTTTCATTTAATTATTTTGATTATGTAATGTGTTTGATTTTTTTTTTAATTTAAGGTGTGACTGCACAGAAAAATTACAGAACAAATTTGACTTTTTGCGCTCACAGTTGAATGATATTTCATCATTTAAGAATATCTACAGATATGCCTTTGATTTTGCAAGGGTAGGTGCAGTTTCCCTGTTTTGTAATTTAATAATTTTTTAATCTTCAGGCCATACTTAGGAAAAGTTTTTTGCTCATTTTTTTTTTAGGATAAAGACCAGAGAAGTCTTGACATTGATACTGCTAAATCTATGTTAGCTCTTCTGCTTGGGCGAACATGGCCATTGTTTTCAGTATTTTACCAATATCTGGAGGTATGTATGTTTTCTTTATAATTCTGTATTACCTCTTTGTTTCCAGAGTATTCTGATTGAAAATACATCTTTAAGGAAATAGTATGTTTAATGCTGTGGTCGTATAAAGGTCTGAGTATTAGAAAAATCATATTAAAATGTATCTGTATCTCCTGAAATTTTTAGGAGTGTCTATATTCATTAGTATATTTTGTACATAAGAAATTTTGATTTCACCCCTTGCAAGTGCCTCACCATTACCCCGATTATAAAAAAAAAAGTGTCCAAGAAATGTATTTTTAGCATGTTCTTTATACTAATTTAACTTTTCACACTTCTGGCAAGACAGACTTCAGCTTAGCCTTTTAAATCAGCTGCTTTCTGTACACAGGATATTGGACTGCTATCCACATAAGACAATTGCTTGTGGTAAAATTTTGGTAGCTTATGTCTGCAGATAAGGAAAATGGTTATGAAAGTGTAGTTAACTGTTTTTGCTTTAAAAAATATATTCAGTATATGAAAATTATTCTTTGAGAAGGATTATCATAGCACTTGTCATGGGCAATGGTTTTCAGAGGATACTGTCCCTTTTTCCATAGATTTGTTAGGTTTTCTAGTTTTCTCAATTTTAGGCTTCTTGGTATAATTTTCAACCATTTTTTGAATATGGGTGTTTTTGTTTTGAAAATTTCTTGTAAGGTTGATTGCTTATCATAGCATGTTCCCCAGAGAGAGTTTTTTTTGTTTTTTTTTGTTTTTTTTTGTTTTTGAGGTGAGAGACAGTGGTAATAGAATGTCTTATGTGAATGGATTTTGTGCATACTTACATCTTTAAGTTTAATAAAGCAATTGTTTTTAATGGAGCTTTTCTCCTGTTAGTAATTTTAGATAAAAATAGGTATAACTGAACGTAGAAATATCTCTAAAGGGAGCTAAGAAGTGAATGGAATGTTTGTCACACTTTTGTTATGGGGACAATATTTGACACTGTATTTTTTTATTCATTATCACAACATTTTGAATGTTGTATCCCCAGTTAGCAAATGAGGAAATAGGTTTTGTCATGTAATTTTTCCATGAGAACATAAGTAAATACCAGGCACAGGATATCAGCCCAAGTTTCTTTACATGGCCTTTAAGTATGTTTGTTTCACAATGCAAATAAATACAAACCTCATGCAAAGAATTGATTATTGGGAAGCAGCAGCAGGAGACTTGGTAGCTGTAGAAAACAAGCTTGGTGGCTACACAGCTATATGCACAGGTTAACGATTCACTGAGTTATCTACTCTTCCTAGTAATGCCCTTGATGCTCTTGTGAGTCTTCAAAAATAAAGGAAAAATTAAGTTGGATAATATCAACATGTAAATACCCCTGGTGATTCTTACAGAAACACAAAATAATTTAAAGAGGAGTGAATGTTTTTTGGAAGGATCAAATCACAATAAAAGTTAAACTTAGTATTTGAAGCCAAGTTCTAAGGAATCATGTTTGTTCTATAAAACAAACACTTATATTGTTTTTTTCAGCAATCAAAGTATCGTGTTATGAACAAAGATCAGTGGTACAATGTATTAGAATTCAGCAGAACAGTCCATGCTGATCTTAGCAACTATGATGAAGATGGTGCTTGTAAGTATAATACTTGGCTTTCCTATAAAATAAAATCTTAAAAGTACTAAGTAAAAACATGCATTTATGTAGCACTACCATTAAGGATTAAATTTCCTGACAGTACCTTTTATCATTTAGTGTGGACCTTTTAAAAATTAAGTCAGAGAAACTTAAAGTATATCAAGTTAAAATATCTCTCCAAGCTCTTTAGTGAAAAGACCACAATGATAAAAAGTCAGACTTTTGAAGTAAAGACAAATTAATGAGATAATCCAAAGGGACTATAGATTGTTCTTCCGTTTCTGCCACTGTTTTGGTTACATGTGGCACCTTCTGTTCCAAAGGATTACATAGATAGGTGCATTCCTATAATTGTAAACTGAAATTATGGGCTTTTTTTGTAACACTAAAGTGATAAAATCAACTGAAGAGAGGATAATTTTATTCCTATATAGGCTGTATACTCCCCCTATAAAGTGGTATAGATTTGTTATTTTTAGAATATCTGTAGCATAAACTGGCAGCCCAGGGGACTGTACATGGCTTACCAATGTGTCTATTTATGTGTGTTTTGTGTAACATTTAAAACTGAAAGATGTATAAAAATGCAACTTCCAGATTCATTTTAACAAATCTGATGTTCCTATATTCTTTCTTGGAGCCAGTTAGTGGCTCATGTTTGACTTGATTTCCAGTTTGCTGGACAACAAAATGCCATTACCTAGGCTGTTTCAACTGCTATTTTTTTGTACTTGTCAGCTCTTTTCCTTGCAATGGAGAAAATAATGTCTGTTAGAAACAGGAATGGGAAAAAGAAGCCACAGGAGGTTAAGTGATTTTAAGGACATAGAGCAAGCATGTTTGTGGCACTGAATTTTCTAACAGTCTTGAACTGTAACTAGTGAGATTATTTAGATGGACAACCTATAGGCATATGAGTTTGGAGATCCCCTGCATTTAAAAAATTTCTTTATAGAATAGTTCTTAAGACAGATACTTACTTGGCATTTGTCTGTGTTCAAATTAGTACCAAGTTCTGTTACTGAAACACTATGTAAGTCTGTAAAATGGCCCCCTTCAGTAAGCTTATAGTCTTGGTAAGCATAACACAGAAATAATGCATTAGATTTCAGAATTAATGACTAAATAGCCAGAAATCATGGACATTTAGAAAAAAAGGACTTTAGTAGTGACTTAGTTATTGGAGAATTCATGAAACATACCTTAGAAGGAAGCTGCTATGAATACCCATTGTGGAAAATGCCTAGTTAAACAATTTTTAAACTGGCTAAGAAAGCACCCTACATTTGAGAAGGCTGGAAGTAAAAACCTGCAGGAGGGAAGGCACAGGCCCTTGTCATCACAGACCTCTTAAGGACTTTGCATCATTACATTTCTAACAAAAATTGTTTTCTTTTTTGTGTTTTAATTTCTAGGGCCTGTTCTTCTTGATGAGTTCGTTGAGTGGCAAAAAGTTCGTCAAACATCATAGCAAGGACTATTGTGAAGAAAATGTACACGTTTTCATCCCCACATGCATACAAGCTAATGAGATGAGGGAGAAAAGCCCATAGGGTGCATTTTCATTCCTATGAAAGACTTCTCATAGTACTTGTTTTTCCTTTTTTTTAAAGGAAGTTTTCTTGTTACATGTGATGGGCATTGAGCCATACCTCCTCTGAGACTGAATATTCAAGTTTTTGTTTAATGTTGATAACGTTTATTTCAGAACAATAAAGATTCAGATTTGTGACAAAGGCCTTAAAGTGAAGATGTCCCTTGAGTGTCAGAGTGGTATTTATTTTTATAAATTCTTGAATTTTTGAGGTTCTAACTCATGAATTTGTGGAATTTTAAAGATTTTAAACAGTCTTAATATTTGGTAAAGTGGTCTGACGATGGTGTGTCTCATGATAGTCACCTCTGCACAATTAGGATGACTACTGACCTGGGATAATGATTTCTGATGCAGCTAATAAACATTTCTGGATACTGGAAGTTTTGGGTTCCTGTGAAAGCTGTCATGGTCCAGTGCACATACTTTATCTGAAGAGTTCAGAGTTGGAAGATTGTGTCCAAATTGCTTTGTTTTCTGTCCATTAAACAGTATTGTCAAAAAGCATAAATCAGTATTACATGTATGTTCTTAATACCAATTTTAAGTTTTCTGTATTCCTTCAGTTAAAAGTTCATTTGAAACAAGATCAATATATGAATGGCCACCTAATTCTCTAAGTATTAGAGAATTAGGACCAGCACTTGAGATTGTCATCATTACTGTCATCTTGTAGTTAGTGACACAAATGTGATCTCTTTGCTATTTCATGAAATAGGAAGTTCTGGAAAGCCTTTTTGGTTCTAAGATAACCTTAGCTCTAGTGTAGATTGAGTTGTGATACATTTAGGCAAGAAAAAAATCAAGTAACCATGAGAGAAAGGGTCAGTTGTGACACTCAAGGGTGCCATTTACCTTGAGATAATCATAGTATTCCAATTGGCACATTATCCTAGCTATTGTCAGTAGTATATCTTGAAAAAAGGACATCCTCTAATTCACATAAAATGCATATTCTGAACCAACAGCAGGACTGTCCATTCCTTTTCACCATCTAATATCCCAGTGACATGAAAACTTGGTTCATATTCTAGTCACAATCTTAGTAACATTTCTACTTTCATTGAATGGAGAGAAGCAAAAAGATTTATTTTTCCAAAAATCCAAAAATATGGATTTATTTGTTGGGCTTTAGGGTAAAGGTTTTTTTTTTTTTTTTAATGGCATATTTGTTGAATAAGTGAGTTTCAGAGTTGATAAAAGTATTTTATGGTTTGTTTACTTTTTGGTTAATGAGCTGGGAGGTAAATGATTACTGTTTTACTTGCCTCCTTACTGATTCATTGTTTAGTTTGTAAAAAATATAAAATGTAAAAGTATATTCCCCTAAATATTTAGAAATAACTTTACCAGATTTGCTGAATTACTGGAACTAAACATACCCAGTGTTAGAATTTTTAACATCAGTGATATTTTAAAATCCAGCTTTATAGACAAAGCATGTAGACATTAAGACATTTGAATCTTTACTGTTTGACTTCTCTCCAAGGCACAACTTCTCAACTAGGGAAATATTGCCCATTTTTATTTCATTCCAAAATAAAGTGAAATCACACAGCCTGCTCATGTTTTTGCATTTTCACTACTTTAGTAAAATAACACTCAAAACATTTTTTACAAAATACATATATTTGAAGTTATGTGCTTACTCAAAGATACTTTTTCTGAAACTTTTGGAGTCTAAAAATTAAAATACCTAGTTCTCACTCAAAATCCACCTATTTACTCTGCCTCATCCATCAGGATGTGGACTTTTACTTTCTCATCTTAACTTCTATTTGAATAGCAATTTGGGAAATTTAAGAAGAGATTTTACAACACAGCTCTGTATAAAGTGGACAGACAATAGAAGCCTGCAGTACAAAAAAAGTCTCTCGAAGTGTCCTCTCTCAGCTAGTTAGCTTTAAGTGCCTTCCCAGGAATCCTGTTGTAAATTTTAAAATTTTTTCTCTTGATATGAGATGAAGTAATCAACGGTGCTTTTTAATTGGAAAGAACTTGATTGTTATAGACAGTATACAAATGTATTTACTACTGGAAATTGGTGGAGCCCGTGTTGATTCTCAGCTCGGGGCATGGAGATGTGGCCCCTCTACCCCTCAGAGCCTATCCTTCTTCACAAGGCCTGGTGTGTTCAGGAAATTTACCTGAGATTCAGGTAACTTAGTGTAACTTTAAAATGGTGTGCTGATCTGACTGCATGTTTGTCTTACTGTCTTAACAGCTTGTTTTCTTAACTGCTGCTGAATAAGTCCTTGACATAATACGTTTTGACAGTATTTTATGTAAAATGTATACAGATTTGTTGATGTGTACTTTGAAGTGTTTGTTGAAATGGACTTAAGAACCTTCCATGAGGGTGTTAGATTGACCCTGACAAGTATTTCTCTTAAATACAAATGCCTTTTTCATCTAGTGAGCCAAAAGTTCACTATCAAATGCCATCACTATGAGGGTGGCAGGAGGAGAAGAGTAGAATTTTTAGAGTTTTTAAGACAGGTTTATAGTGCAGTTCAGATTCAGAACATGGAAGTATATTAAACTATAGGATAATTTAATTCTTAACTATCTCTTCAACAAAACATGTCCTTTCTGCCCAATGGCTAATGTGATACTAAGACTATTAAAAGCAAATATAAGAATGCTGACTTAATTTGTTTTACTGTTTCTTTGAAGTGTACTTAAAAGTGTGATAATAATTCAGCCTAATAAAGTTTTGTTTAGATTTTCAAGGCTCCTATAGGTAGCCTGACATTTTACGACACAGCTCTCATGTTTTTGCCAAATGTCTAAAGCATCAAATGACTGGGGCATTTTAAAACATAATTTAAGTTCACATATTTAAGAGAAAAGGCAAAATAATTTCTTTCTCCCCTCTTGAGGAAATACTACTTGAGTGACACAGGAAATCATCACAAGGAAACATTTTAAAGAAGGGATCATTTTCAGGAGAAAATAAGCAAAATCTCCATAGGAAAGACTAGTCTGAGTTATTAGGTATATAACTTATATAGTCATACAATTTTTAAAAGAATATTCTTATGGACCTCTTTGGTGACAGAACTGCTAGCTGCAGCCACTTCAGCACAAGTTAAATCCCCAGCCAGGGAGGTGGCCCACATGGCACAACAAACCTAACTTTCCAACTGCTCACAGCAGTGTATTTCATCAATCTGCCTGTTCTGCTCCCCACTCTGTCTCTGGTGAATCATCTCACCACCTCTCCTCCTCTGGCCTGTACCCCCATTCTGTATGCATCAATAAATAAATCTTAAAGTTATTCTCGCTTCCAAAAAATACTTGACAACAACCATAGGAATAGGTTGCATAAGACTGTCTTTTTTGTCAATCTAATTACCAGTAGTACAGTCAAAGGCCAAAAAAACAGTATTTTTATGGTAAACTTACATAGCTTAAGTAAAGTTGGATTCCTAGCCAAGCTTGAAGTGAATTACCAGAATTCATTATTGCAGAGGATTGTCTAGTGAACTTTTACTTATTGGAGCCTATCTTCAGATCTTTGAAAGCACAATTTGCTCTTTCCCAAACATCAGTCTGAAGAAAATAACAAATTTGCTGTGTCCCTCTGAGCCCTTGGGATCCTATACAGCTAGTCCTCCTTTCCCATACTAGATGTTACTGAGTTTAAATGAGTGTGTTCTGTTTGTAATGTATTAGAACTGTCTATACTATGGCTTATTTTTGCATGGGCTCTGGTTTTCCATGTGTTAGTGTTTAAAATGTATCCAGCAATAAGTTTAGACTTGAATATAGACATCTAATGCTGCCAATTTTATTCCCTAAATTATATAATTTTGGAAAAGTTTCCACTTTTTTTGTTTCATCAGCTTTAAAGTATTAATAAAAATTGTTTACATTCATGTATTCTATGTATTAAGTTAAAATCATGCATATTATGAAAACTCAAAATACGATTACTTTTAAGACCTATAAAAAAGGAGAATGGATAAAGTAGATATGCTATAAAGTCAGATTCCCCAAAACTCAACAGTGTTTGTGTTTGTGTGTGTGTGTGTATGTGTGTAACCTTATTTCTAATGTAGAAAACAAAAGATTTTCACATATTGGAAAAAAAGAAAATTTGCTTGCTTATTGCTTTCAATTATATCTGAACCATGAAAGACCTAGTACTTTGAATCAACTTGCCATTTGAGACTATTACTAACAAAATTAATTTCTGTAATGAGTTAAGTGAAACTAGTTTACATCTCAAGTATCTGTATTAAATCATTCAAATGAGGTAGCTTATATAACAAGTGCATAGTTTTTAATCTGCAAGTATAGAAGTCTTACCTGTTTGGGATGTATTTCAATCCTTGAAACTACATTGATTATTGAGAGGAAATTGAGTTTATGGGAGAATATCACAGAAATCTTAGTTGATTTCCTCTGCCACATACTTTTACCACTTTTACCAAGTCACTTGACATTTGGCATCTTCAGTTTCATCTGTAAAATAGCAACCATATCTACTATATTGTTAGGAAGTTCAAACAAGGCCCTATCCACAGTTTTAAATAAATGTAAATGTTAAATGATACAATTCTACATTTGACCAAAACAATTAGTTAAAAAGGGGGATTTGCCTATGACCCAGCAATCCCACTCCTAGGTATCTACCCAAAAGACACAAAAACACTGATTGAAAAAGATACTTGTACCCCCATGTTTATTGCTGCTTTATTAACAATTGGAAAAACATGGAAGCAGCCCAAATGCCCAAAAGTAGATGACTGGATTAGAAAGATGTGGTACATATATACAATGGAATATTACTCAGCAACCAAAAAAGAAAAACACATGTCTTTTGCAGCAACTTGGATGGAGCTGGAAAAGATCATGCTTAGTGAGATAAGCCAGAAAGAGAAAGAAAAATACCGGATGGTTTCACTCATAGCAGGAGTATAATGGACCAGGCGAGAAAATAACAAAAATAATGAACAACCATAGACCAGAGACATTATGTGGGGGTGGAGTGGGGAATGGGATCAAAAACGGGGGGAGGGGGGGAAGGGAGGGAAATGCACGGGACTATGGTGGTGGCACAGGGGTGATTTGGTGATGGGAAACCCGTGGGGATTACAATTGAGATGAAAAAAAAATGTGAAAAATGATGTAAAAATAAACTTTTTAATTAAAAAAAAAAACAAAAAAAAAAAAAAAGGGGGATTTGTTTTCCCCAACAAACTTCCATCTTGTTTATACAAGTAGCTGTGATCTCTCTATTCTACCATTTGTTTTTATAGTTGAAATTTTCATATTCTTGGACAAAATATTTCAAATTCCAGTCACCTACATGCCAGGTAATGTGCTAGACCTGAGTAAATATAGGACAAAGAGTAGACAATTTTTACGCCTATGGCATTCATTTCAAATGGTGAAGTAAAAAACACCAGGTTTATGATTACAAGGTGAAGGGAAAATAAGGGGTAAGGGGTCTCGGGACATGCGTAAAGACAAGGTTGCTATTCTAAGTATATACTGATAAGTCAGCAGTTGATGTAAATGTTGTCCAGGAGAAAAGCATTGCAGGCAGAAGAATAACTAGTCCTGAGAAGAGCAAAGTTGGATGTGGGTAGAACTAAATGGTAACCCAGATGAGGAACGGTATTGTTTCAAAGGGACTGAGGGCAATGGGCATAATTTATTGTCAGATACTGAACATATTTCAATAGTCATGACAATGGTGTGCGCTGACAAACTGGATGTGGGCTGTGAGGAAAAGAAACGGGAATTATTCCAAGTTGTGTGGCCTGAAGCACTTCAAGAACAAAGTGACCATTTACTGAGATGGAAAAGACTCAGAAAAGCAGGTGTGCAGGGAAGATCAAAGTCCCAAAGGAAACGCAGAACAGTGTGTGTGTGTGTTTGGAAATTTGGAAGTCAACAGAATACAACCCTATTTTAAGTTAGGACATGGATGAAGTCATTTAGTGTAGGCAAAGAATAGAACTAAAAATGGGGCCTATAACATCAGTAAAATTTAGAGCATACTGTGATTTTTCAAAGGAAGATAAAATGTTAATATGTTCTATACACAAAGATCATTACTTTCTGTAAAGTACTGGAAGCACAGATACCAAAATTGATCATATATAAGCAAATGAATTTTTATTTAATGTGGAGATT